CTTCCTCATTCTCTTTTCTTCAAGCAAGCAGTAATCTTGTGACATTTTGTGCAACAGTGAAACGTTGCCCTTATTGTTTATGTTGTTGTTGGGGGTGATAAATCCTGCTGACTTGGGAAGTTGCTATGGGGAAAAGCTCATTAGTTCCTTAATGCAGCAAGCAGGACTGCACTCCCGGGGTCAGGCAGAACTATTTGTGATCTTACAGCCCTTCTTCAAATTGGCATTGAAGTAAAAAGAATTTAAACCCTGCTGTAACAGACACAGAACTGTAACCAATCAACAGAAAAGAAGAGTTTAGTGGTAGTGTTTATTCTTATCTCATTGGTTTTACTCCAGGTGCCACAGGGACATGGGGACCTTGTGCACGTACCCCCACTCCGAACACATTGCACTCTACATTGGTGGGCTCTGGCTTTGTAATCATGCCTTGGACTCTTGTATTAGCTTTACATGCCCCAGTGTTGAGGGGTGCTGGGTTGGCAAATTTTATGTGACTAGCAGGCTAAGTTGTTCACTGCAGTGCTGTATTACAACAGTGAAAGGAAACTCTCCAGGGACAGCACTCTAGGATACTGAAGCTCAAGAAATAGCTACTGTCTTTTAAGCCTTCTGGGAACAGGCTGCTCAAGATTCATTCTAGAGATTGCAGGTGGCGTTGTGGAAAGGGTGCTTGGAAAGCAAGGGAGCTAAAGGAGTCCGTGTAGATGTACAGAGTGTGCCTGTGTCACTCAGAAAACCAGACTACATGACTCAGTTGTCGATACATGTGATCAGAGGAGGTCTTTTAGAACAATTCCTTAAGCAGATGCAGACAGAGATAGGTCATGGCGCTTGGTGTGATAGGGTATTAGTTACAAACACTGGTTCCCTTTCTTGGCTGTTTCTGAGATGCTGACTAAAGAAATGCATGCTACATGCTCCCGTAGGCCCCAGCTGCAGGGCAGAGACACCATTTGTACCACAATTGCTAGTAGGAAATGCAGACTTGCTTTCATTTCCTCACAGCTCACTTGATGTTAAGATCAGTTGGTGGCTGGGAAGGTCTGTGGTGATCTCTGAATTCTCATAAGGGGTGTGTGTTGTGAGCAGAATTGGTGTCTGCAGTGTTCCTAGAAGAAGTGGTAGAAGCATTTCCAGGAAGGGTGTTTTAATTTGAACAAGCTCTAATCCCTTCACCATTCTCTTCAACATACCACTCATCTTGGCTCTCTGGTGTTCCCTGTCTCTGCAAAATATCTCGGGGTTGCCTCCTTCCAGTTACAACTCCTGAGATTAGGAGTGTGGGAGCTGTTGTGGTTGCTGCTCAGTGTGTTGTACAGGGGAACAGATTGCACTTCTCTTTCTCTGCACAGAGGGGGGAGGAGGAAGAGGAGGAGGAAGAAATGTTTCGCTATCGCATCCCTTGTGGCTGTGGCAGCGCAGGATGGGTACCCTTCCCAGGCCCAGTGGCAACCAGGGCAGTGCGAAATGCTTATTATCCTGCAGCCTTGATCAAAGCCTCATCCTGGGTTCATACGTTCTCCATGAGAAAGTGTTGTCTGACCTATCTCCAGCAGTGATGCTGATGCGTTTGGATGGAGGGGAAAGGTGGGCTCTGGTCTGGTTGGGCCTAGCTGCCTAGGCATGAATGCTAAGGGTGTCTTTTTATAGAGCAGTGGCAGAGCTGTTTAGGGGTTTTGTCTGCAACTATTACAGGCTCATTCCAAATAATAAAACAAGTCACCCTCAGATTTCTAGATGTTTTGCAGAACACTGGGCTGATTTTTGTGGCTTTGCAACATCGCCTGCTGGAATTTCCGCTCTGAGAGATTTTAAAGTCAAGCCAAGCGAAGTTTGGACTTTGAAAGTATTATTATTACCTCCTATTACACCTCCTGATTCCTTCAAATTCAAAACATAATCCAAGAGGCATGTGCTGTCTTTGATACAAGGTACAGGAAAGGCTGGAATGAGTCTCCCCTCTCAGGATGAGTCTTCACAGGGCATGGAGGTGCTGAGTTTCTTTACCTAAGAAATGTGAGCTTCTTCTAAAGCTTTGTACATGATGAGAGAGCAGTGTGATTTGGGGGATAGTGGCATTTTTTGAACCCGTCTTCATCATGCTGCAAGTCAGAGCCAGTTGGGCGATAAATGGGGCTACAGTTCTACTTTGGAGAACATGCTATGTCTCTGAGCAGTACACAGCAGCACCGCGTGGCCGGAGGTCCCGTGGCACCGTATAGCTGCGGTTACTCAGGCGGATCGTGCTCCTTTCCCCATCACTGCCCTTGCCTCTGTGCTCCTCAGCGTCCTGTTCTACCCCTTGTTTGGTTTCGGTTTGCTGGTTTTTTGTTTGTTTTTTTGTTTGTTTGTTTTTTTCACTTTATCTTACACTATTTTACTTTTTTATTTTATTTTTGGATTTTGCTTCTTCCAGCGTACCCATCTCCCTCATTTTTTGTTTGTTTTTGTTTAATTCCCGTCATTCCTTTAGACCACCAACCTGGCTCCCACCTCCTCCAGTGCCACTATTTCCTTAACCAACCCCGAGGTCTCCATACTAAATTACCAATCTGCACTCTACCAGCCCTCAGCGGCGTCCATGGCTGCGGTGGCCCAGCGGAGCATGCCCCTGCAGACAGGAACAGCGCAGATCTGTGCCCGGCCTGACCCCTTCCAGCAAGCTCTCATCGTCTGCCCACCAGGCTTCCAAGGTAAGTAACAGCCTTGCCAGGTCTTGGCCAGTCGCTGCTCCCTCCCCACTGCTGTTTCATCTACCTCTTGTTGGAAACAAGCTTCCTCAGTGCAGATCATATGGTAGAAAATTTGCTGGCCTAGTAAATGAGAGCAATGAGTTTGCTGCAGATGGAAGTGTTTGCAACAGCAGAGGATCTTGCAGGCACCGCCAACATCATGATTTGGAGGTCACTGGTCTAAAACAATGGGGCAGGCACTGAGAAGTGACTGTGGAAGAAGATATTTGTAGTCCTTTACCTTGAATAAAGTTTGAGGCTCTTCTGCCTCACTTTGGTAAACTTGAAAACTTCCCCCCACCGCAATGATAAATCAGTACGTAAATAATCAGTTCATCACTTCTCAGTGACTCAGTTGTTAAAAGGGGAACTCAGGAGGTTAATGCAGCAGGGAGTGTGGTGCTGGTGGAGATGATGCCCATAACAGATGCTCATGACCATTTATCAGTACAATTCCTTCAGCTCCAGCCCTGCTGCAAACAGCTCTGCCTGTGTATACCAGTGGCAGGTACCATTGTCAGGCAATTTGGGCGATGATCAGATTTAGCCACTTGTCCTTCTCTTGGCTTTCTATGCTGTAGCAATTTGGAAAACTAGCCAGGTATCTGTAGGAAGTGGTCTAAGTAGACCTTGGTTCAGCTGGTGCAACTTCTGCTTGTCATATCTACAAGCCTGTCTGTGCAGCCGTCTCTAGGTACTTGTTAAATGTTCTGCAAGATTATCAAAGCTCTTTTGAACTAGGGGAATTTAGTTAGACCTCTTCTACATAGTTAAAATGCATCTCAAGGGTTTGACTTCAGAAATATATTGCTAGAATATGTAAGCTAGCATCTTCTGCTTGCTGTCTTGAGAAAGCTTTAAAGCAGAGGAGGTAGCACAGGCTGTGGCACGCACTAAAGTGATGGAGAGGGCAGCTTCCTCCAGCTCAGTTAGGCTAACATGTGGCTGAGTCAGCAGTGATTGGAGTTTGGGGTCTGCTAGATTACATGGTCAAATCAGAGCCTTTTAAATATGAGTCCTGAGAAGCTGTGCAAGAGAAAATCACCTATCCCCATCAAGGCTGAGGGAGTACAGACTTCTGGATTCCTGTCCCACTGTCCCACTTTGATCTATAGAGATCATTGTCACATAGCAATGGGTTTTTCTGTTGTCAAACCAGAGAATATGGGGGAAGAGAAGCCATTCCCTCCCCTCTCTTCCTTTTCTCCCTGTACACATTGTATTGAGATGTTTCCCACACATTCAAGGTCCTCTAAAAATATGAACTCAGTTAATCCCTTCATGTCTTTGAAAATGTCTTTCCTGGACCCTTATACATGTATCATGGTTATGAACATTTGATGGACATCTTTGGGCTAGGGTAGAATATGTGAGACTCGAAAAACCCAATTTTTCAGAGAGACTGAACACTGCAATTTAAGTGGACATCAGCAGTTGCCTTTAGGCATCTCTGAAAACCAGACCCTCAATCCTAGCAGTGCAGTTGATAGCTAATGCTGTACCTTCTGTGCTGGTGGAACAGGGTTACAAGCCTCCCCTTCGAAGCATGCTGGGTATTCAGTTCGGATGGAGAACGCCGTTCCCATTGTCACTCAGGCTCCTGGGGCCCAGCCTCTTCAGATCCAGCCAGGACTCCTCGCACAGGTAAGGAGCTCTGAAGACACCAAGCTCAGCAGGTATTTTTTGTGTTGTTTAGCTCTGGAAGGCTGAGGAGAGTAGCTTTCTCTGAGGGCCTTCGGTGGTGCAGGTCAGAGACTTGGGCAGCCATATAGGTGTCTCCAGCTTTCTCCGAAATGTCCAAACTTCCCCAGTTCATTGTTCAGCTCAAACGCTATGTCAAAGTTGCAAAAGTCTCTGGAAGGACCTTCTTTCCTTCTGCTTCTCCACTGGAATCACTGGGAAGCCTCAGGGAAAGCTGTGTCAGGCCTCTGCTGAGGAGGAACCAGTGATAACCTTCCTGCATTGTCCTGAACTCATGGTCTCAGTGGTGGTTTGTGGCCAGGAGTTGCGCTGGTGAGTTGCCTGCTGCTGCTAAATATATTTCATGTTTTAAGTTTGCACCTCTCTGTTTTATGAGCTGCCCTTATGCTCTTAAGTTACAAGAGAGATGTAGAGGGCAGAGGCAAAGGCCCCACAGCCAAGGAGCTCTCCTTGTCAGCAGCACTGTTCGGCACAGTTGTCTGAAATGCACTCACAGGAAAAGCACAGTTCCTCCCAGAAAAAAAACGACATAGGAATGGGTACCAGCGCTCACCTGCACATCCTCAAGGGGAACCTCAGCTCCTCAAAAAGCAGGAGCCGTTCAGTCCTCCTTGTGCTGGCTTCAGTGAATCTGCCCCTGCTGGTTTTCAGCTGGTGCCTTGGTACCTCTGCTGATACCAGGCCTATTTCTAGCAACAACAAAAAAACCCACCTAGTATACTTAGTATTAAGTTGTGCAGCCTGGAAAAGATGATGTGCAAGTCAAAGATGACCTGCAAGTCAAAGATGCATGCCTCTGACTCAGGACTGATTGGTCTGCCATACCTTCGTTAATGACAGCATGTTCATACACAGTAAGGTACCAGCAGATTAAACCAGGGTTTATACCTGTGTGTTGCGTTGCTCGGGTAAGACTGTTGGTACAATTGGCTTTCTTTGCCAGCTGGCAGTCACACTTACCTGGTGAAGATAGATCGAAACACAACTTGCAGCCTGCATGATTTCCATTAGCTAATGTGCCTTGCCCCTTCCCAATAGCAGAGTCTTCGTTAGAGGGCTGTCTGAAACATCGAACCTATCACTGTTGCAGCCTGTCATAACAACCTACGTGGGCTGCCTCTCTCGTTTGGTAGGAAAGGAGAGCCTAAGAGGCAGGGGAAACAAAAACAATGGCAAAGCGAGAAGCAGCCTGTGCAAGCGTGGTTGTGGGCACCTATTGCTTGTGCAAGAAGTCAGTGAAGGCAGTGGGTGAAGGAGGTGACAGAGCTTTGCATGCCCCGGGGAGGCCTCCTGAGCTGTTACATGGGGCTTGAAGGGGTGATGGTCAGGTCTGAAACATCCCAAAGGCAGCAGGATCCTGAAAGATCTCAGGATCTCCAGCTCCCTTTCTTCTCGAGGTGGCCTTGTTGAGGTCACTGTGCAGTCTGTGGGAGGGAGGGAATGTTCAGGAGGAACTTTGCTACCAATTTCAGTGTTGCCCCTGCTACATCGAACTCTCATTTCATGGGCTGTCCCTCTCGTACTTTCTACTGACGTTTTATTCGCTGTCACTTCCACAGGGAATTTAAGCTGTTTCTGAGAAACAATCCTCACTTGCATAGATTTTTAATTTTTGATTTAATAAAAGAGAGGCAGTCTGCCTGTTCATATATCTGTCTGTCTCATGCGATGAGAAATGCTAGCTGCCTCTTTGATGGCAAGGCCCTCTGATTGATGCCAGTGGCATCTGGTGTCCACAGGCCTTGCTCGGTTCAGGCTGAGCAGCTGGTCTGATAAACAAATCTGTACCCAATTCCAGTTTCCTGAATGGAAAAACACAGCTTCTTTGTAATGCATTGTAGTCACATCTGATCTCTGAGCGGCTGCCTGTCTCTCTCTCAGCAGAGAGCTATTCCTCTCATGCACAGCTGCTTATCTAATGCTCTTCAGACCGGACCGTGTGATTGCTGCAATTACTAGAGGGACTGTTCCCGGCAGAGAGATAGCACCTCCGGAGCCCACTTCTGTCTTTACACCCACCTTATTTGTCCCCCTGATCAGGCATGATGCCACTCCTGCTCCCAGCACTGTTGTCATGCCATCGAGCTTTCTCCCCTGCCCAGCGTGCGATGCAGGTTGCTGTGCTTGCCCGCATCAGGATGGCTGTGGCTGGCAAAGCCGTATTGCATCCCAGCACAGCAGGCATCCAGCTCTCCCTGTGCATTTTGTATGAGACCAGCAGTCCTGGAGGAGGGACAGGAGAAGGAGTTCCAGGAGGTTGAGGGACCAGGGCAGAGGCAGCGATGGATTTTGAGTATCGTCTCTGGCAGCTGAGTGTCTGCAGCCTGTGGCATGGAGCTAGACAGAGCAAGCAGCCTGCAAGATGCAGAGCCAGTGGAAAAGTAACTTGTTTGTAACTTCTCTGGGTCTATTTTCACCCTCTCAAGCAAGTATGGTCCGCGTACTGTATGCACAGAGACCAGTGAAAGGAGACTGATCCTGTCTTTACTAATAGCTCTCTGCAGCTTCCGATCTCAGAAGAGACAAAGCTGTACAGTTTTCTGGCAGGCTTCCATGAAGCGACCCAGAACTGTCCCCTGTCCTTGAATAATGCCCTGAATTCTTGATTTTCTCTCCCTTTAACTCCTTCCCAACAACACTTCTTCCCACGGAGGTCCTGCCACCAGCTTTCAGAACACACACACTTATTCCATCAGTCGTTCTTGCTCTACGTCTGAAGCACGAGCTCCATCGCACCAGAAGACCCACCACCTCCCGAGCACAGGGGCCAGCGCGGCACTCTGCCGCGGCAGCACAATTTTGAGTAATGCAATAACTGAGAACAGGCTGCGGCTGCCAGCACGAGCCTCCCGTGTTAGCACAGCGCACTGTGCTAGTGCATCTGCCTAGACAAGTCTTATCTGCAGATTAAATGATTCAGTGGTCCTTACCTAATAAGTGAGGAATTTCTGCCTGGACCCTGAGACTGCATCTAAATTTATGCAGTGCAGTCGGGAAGGGAGCTTAGATTTGTTCAGTTCTCTTCCTGAAAAGGGAGGAAGCAGTTTTCTGTGCAAGTAGATCCAGGTAGTCCCCTGGGACTGATGGCAACAGTAGTTGAGTCTCCTCTTTTAAATCAAAGCTGGGAAAAAAGAAAAGAAAAAAAAAAAGCTTTTTTCCTCCCTGATCTTTTTGTGTCTTTGCCTCGTCCTCCTCCTGCCTGCTCCGAGCAGCACCAGTCCATAGTTGTGGCTCATTAGATGAAGAGCTCTCAGGAGCCCTGTGACTGTCCATCCTTTGCAGATGTTGCTGAGAGACCTCACCGTATCAGCCTTTTCATCTAACTCAGCAACGTGGAAAATTAGAACACAGTCAAACTTTGGAGCAGAACTGGGAAAAGGTGTTGCATCAATAGGACAAATTCAGACAGTATTTGAGGTGGGCAGTTTTTTGTTGTTTTTTTTTTTTTTTCCTGGGGAATCGGGCAGGATCATGGGGACAATCAACAGGATTCTTGTGAGGATGGAGATGGGGACAAATGCATGCCTGGAAGAAGCCTCCCCTCTAAAATTTAGCCTCCTGAGAGCGATGAGATAACACAACACAGTTCCAATATAGTAGTGCAGGTTGAGACTAAGGAGGGCTGTAGCAGGTATCCCTGTGTTCCTCAGCCCAGGCAGTGAGAAGCTGCTGGAGCTGCCTTTGGGCAGCACATAGTAAAGAAAATTTCCCAAGTCAAAACACCAGTCATCTGACTCGTGTGGAGTCCCTGGAGCAGGATGACCTGAGTCATCCCTGTGGTAGCACAGCTGGAGAGGTAGTTGCATAGCAGAGCGATGGCTTAACTCACAGGGCAGAGATCTCCAGCCCTACAAAGGGGGGCACCCACTCTGAAAAAGCCGGAGAGCACACGGAGAGGACAGGCTTGCAATGTGTAGCCATGCGTGGCTTCGCTGTGCTTTGGCCGGGGGGCTCCTGGTGAGCTGGAAGCAGGCAACTGGGCTCCTTGGCCCATGCAGCAAGGTGTTCCTCCTGAGGAGCACTCAGTGACTGATGCGCATTCTCTTTTGGTATCCCTAAATTCACCTTTTTTCCCTCCTCGCAAAAGCCTTGCAGTCCGCTGTTCTCTTTTCTGATCCTTGAAAAGTTTGTTCTCTCCTTTAAGTTCCTAAAGGCCTTTTAGGTCCTGTTGGGCTGGGAAGGAAAATTGGCTGTAGGAGGGGAAAAATAACAACCGGACCATAGTGCCCAGCTGATCTGGAGAGTCAAAATTAAAAGGTGCTAAAGAGTTTGATGTTTGGGTTGAAATGCCAACCAGTTTCAATCCCTCCCATTCCCAGTTCAACCTATAACACAGCTACTGCTTTGGACGGCAGGAATTTTTTTTCCCCTCCTTTGTGCTCTTTATGTTGATAACTTTTACTGCTTTTACTTTGGTTTCCTAACAGTGTTTGTCATCTATGAGTGAAAAGTGGTAAGAGCTAGGTGGTATGACCATGATTGTTATTAGGAGCCCCAGCTGAGCATGGGCTACCCCTCACATTCGGTGTCTGATGCCTCTTGTTAAGAAGTTGTTTTCCCTCTGTCCGACAGCAAGCGTGGCCCAGTGGCACTCAGCAGATCCTGCTCCCTCCCGCCTGGCAACAGCTGACCGGGGTGGCCACCCACACTTCTGTCCAGCATGCGACCGTCATCCCGGAGTCCATGGCGGGCACCCAACCCCTGGCAGACTGGAGGTAAACTGGAGGTGCTTGGAGGCTCCCTGAAGTACCCGCTGGGGCTGGAGGAGGCATGAAAAGAGCCGGGGAGGGAGAGATGGGGTCTTGCGAGGCTGCGGAGCTGGGGGTAGAAGGGCAGAGGCTGCAGCCTGCAACCGCCCCGTCTGAGACCTGATCTTCTCTGTTCCCTGTCCTTGAAGTGGAGTGCCGTGCCCACGCCGCTCCCTTCCATCAGTTCCCTGGTGGAAACGCTCCTTCCTGGGGGGACTGGGAGCCCAGTGGGCCCTGGAGGAGGGTGCCTCAGTGAAGGCAGTGGGAACCTGTGAAAGAACCTGCTGAAGAGCCGCTGGTTGCATTTTAAACGTGTGCCTGTCTCCCCACTTTGCAGAAACACCCACGCTCACGGCAGCCATTACAACCCCATCATGCAGCAGCCCGCGCTGTTAGCTAGCCACGTCACTCTGCCTGCAGCCCAGCCCGTCAACGTGGGTGTTGCTCACGTCATGCGCCAGCCACCCGCCGCCGCCACCTCCGCCAGGAAGAGTAAGCAGCACCAGTCGGCACCCCGGTGAGTGTGCATGGCTCCCGGCATGGCCGTGGTCGTGGCATCAGTGAGGCAGGTGTCTGTACCCGGGTTGTTCTGAATGCAGCCTTGCAGTGCAGGCACGCTGACGAGGGTGGTGTTGGCCAACATCTGTGGGGCGAAGTAAAGTTTGTTCCACGGCCCATGAGCGATTAGATCACACTTTTTGTGACTGGACTTTTTGCTGATTCACCTCTTCCCTACCCAGGTCAGGAAAGCAGGGGGTAAGAGGTAGTCAGGTGCATTTTATACCTAGAGAGCATCATTTTGTGCAGGAATTAGTTGCTGGAGGGGATGCAGGATGGGAGACTCAAGCCCTGTTGATACAGTTCACTGCTACTGTGATTACCTGAGGCCTTGTAGTCACTATAATTAAAAATGTAACTATATTCTCAGGTCAGCATGGTGCAATGCCCAGTTGGCACACCTTTTCTTCCCACATCCTCTCAAAGAAGTGCTCCTGAGGTGCAGTGTCTGCATTTCCACAGGATGGGACACTTCCAGGGGACCACATCTTCAGGAGCACGTGCCTGATGTGTGCACACGAGATCTGCCCTTTCAAAAGCAATGGGATGATGACCTGTCTTCTGAACTTTAATGCCATGCAGAGTAGAGGACTGGGATGACTTTAGGCCACCTTCAAGCTCTCTAGCTCCTAAGATAGGTGGCTGGCCGCTGTCTTCAACAGTGCACACCAGCAACAGACACCCACACTGGCCTTTTTATAGTCATGGCAGTGTAAAACAGGGAGCGTTTCATAAGGATATCTCAGACAGGGGCAGTTGTTCAGCACCTAAATCTATCAACTCTCAGTAGGACCATTTGGCTCTGCAAGGAGGAGACTGGGTTTTGGTTCATACCATGTCGTGTGGCACAACTGAAATGGCAGGATGATTGCAGTGCCTGTCACAGGACTGTAATCTTACCTAGAGGACAAGGCTGTTTAAGATGTATGTGCAGCTGTTCTGGGGAAAGTCCTCTGGGCTGTGAAACTAGCACATTTATTTAAAAAACACAAAACAAAACAGTGCAGGGGAGAGAACCAAAATGGGACACCACTTGCGCGGCGGTAAAAACAGAGGAGCTTGTGGTTTTCTTGGGTGACTGGACCGGGGCCAGAGGAGCTCTGAGTTCACAACCAATTTGACCCTAGTTAAGAGGCCACTGTTTAAATCCTTCCCATTTATCTGCTCTCTAATGTTGCATTTACTTTGGGTGGGCTCCAGCTGCCTCAGTCCGTTCATAGTGTAGAGCAGAGACAGCTATGTCCCCAGCAAGGCAGCATAAGAGAGCGCCCGTTGCAACCAGTTTGCCTGTGCCGGGCCTCGCCTCTCCCTTCCCTCCCCAGGGGCAGGGGGCCAGTGTCCGGGAGGAATTGGACACTTTCAGAGCAACGAGTTTCTATGGCTTCATTAATTGTGATGCTTTTGTAGCCAAATGAGGAACGTGCTCCTTTGGAGAGGAGGGTACTGCACAGTGCTCATTGGTATTCAAAAAGCACTGCAAATGCTACTGTGCAGCCATTTGTTATGCAAAAGACCCTGTGTAAGTTGGTATAGAGCGATACGTCCAGAATGACTTCCTTTTGATGGATGCCGCCTGTTCCTTTTGTTAGCTTTCGGGCCAAGCTGAACATGCAGCCCGGGCCCCACTGTAGCACAAAACCAGAACTTTGTGGTTTTTTTCATTTTTGAATCTGCAAATGTTCTGCAATAGGCAGTAGAAATACAAGAAATACAAAGAAGAAAGAAAACATGGGAAATGAGTGAAATAGGCTTTAGTCAGTGTGCTTTGGTAAATACTCCCATCCGCAGACCTGTGCTGCACTGTTTGGTGGACAAGTTCTGTGTGCAGATCACTGATCCAAGTGAGCCCTTTCCAACTGTCAGGCAGGGAAGCTGAAGTAGGAAGACTGGGAAGAAAAACAGGACTTGAGAATGTTTTTCTACTGCATAATAAGACGACTGTTCTTTTCTTTCTGATTTCTATATGCTGTATCTGCTGCCTCACGTGGGAATGAAATGAAACTGAGTATATGTCCTCCTATCTGCGTGCTCTCATCTACGGGACTCCACTGTCCTAGAGGACAAAGTATTGGGCAGGAACTGTTCATTGAAAAGATTCTTAAACAGAAAATTAAATTTTCAAGTGAGAAAAGCAGTTTTCCTAATAAGTGATTGTTGTTTTCCACAACAAATTCTAATTTTACCTTTAGCTTTTTCTGGCCAAAAAAATCTGGTCGTGCAAGATACAGGAAAGAGGGATTATCGTTTGGGTGGTTCTTCCTGCAACAGCCATACTGTGCCTGCTTGTATGTTGTATGTCAGGGCTGTGTGACTAGCCTCTACCTCCCAGCAAGGCAGCATTTCTCATTTGGAAATTTCTAGGGAAAACAAAATTGAATTTTTTACTAAAAGAAAGTACTTTTCAGCCAATTATATGAATAAATTATGTGAGGCACTCTGTCCTTTGAAGAGGTGACTATGCCAATTTTGCAGTTTTCCCAGACTCCATAAATCAGTGCCACTGAATCAGAGACCAGAAATCAAAAGCCATGGCGACAGGCAATTTCAGCAAACTGAGTTTTAACCAACTAACAACCTTTCCCATTTCCAGAAATGCATCCACCTATGAAGTTTCATCCTCTCAATCCATCAGCTCGCCTCAGCGATCAAAACGAGTGAAGGAAAACACACCTCCCCGCTGTGCCATGGTGCACAACAGCCCTGCCTGCAGCACCTCCGTCACGTGCGGCTGGGGCGATGTGGCGACCAGCACAACGCGGGAGCGGCAGCGGCAGACGATAATCATTCCCGACACCCCTAGCCCCGCCGTGAGTGTCATCACTATCAGCAGCGACACAGATGAAGAGGAGGAGCAGAAGCACGCACCCACCAGGTGAGAGTGGCTCTCTGCTCTCCTCTGTGTGCAGGAGAGAGAGTTGGAGGTAGAGAAGTGCTGGAGCATCCCAGGAGTTGCTGTAGGGTCCCAGGAGCTACAGTTCGGTCTCAGCACCCAGGTCGTCTTTCATTTGAGAGGAAAGATGATGGGGAGGCTAAAATACTAGCTGGGGACTCCTCAGACTTAGGTGATGTTCCCTACTGTGTTGTGCATTTGCTGTGTGACCTTGGAGAAGTGTAGTAGTCTCTCTGTGCCATAGTCTCTCGTCTGTAAGAGGAAAGAATAGTTTTCTCTATCTCACAGGACTGTTGAAAGGAGACTTTCATGGTGATAAGCCTCTTTAAGTGAGATGTAGCTGTTTAAAACAAAGACAAAAAGAAAGGATTGGAAGGAAGGTAGCTTAAAATTGCCTTTTCTTTTTCTAAGTGATCCAGGCATCTGTAAAGAGCATTAAATGACACCTTCCGTATGTGCTATTTTCCATAAAAAGGTCCTGAAAACCAGTTAGTGGGTGTGTCATAAACACTTAGTAATGGTAAATACTTTGCAAGAGGTTTGCTCAGTTCTGATTGTGTTGCCAAAACATCCCTGAACTGTTGTAAAAAGTGGCAGAAACTGATAGCTTTTTGACTGACTCTGCAGAGAGGCATGGTTGAGGCTGTAAAGACCGTGGTGACTGAGTTTGCTCCTCAGAGAATTAACTCACATGAGTGAACAGTGCAGCCCAGGACCACTGCCACTGCTGATCAGCTACTGTGGATGAGAGAGGACTTAATTTTCCAGGACTGTCTTTTCAGCACCTTTCATCACATGCAAGCACTCTACATTTCCCATCTGATGCCAGTCACAAGCCATCAATCTGCTTTATAAGTTGTAGAGAAGTAGCCTTGCAAACAGCTGAATAATTATACCATCTTTATATTGGTAACTGAGCTAGGAATTTTTTAACCTTATCCCTCCAGTATTGTCAAGAGAGAATTAATCTTTTTATTTATTTAAAACATGCTCCATGGCAGATTTTCCTTTAATCACTGGAGATATCTATCTATATCTCTGCATCTCTATGCTGTGGTGATAAGTGGAGCACTGCAAATGTGCACAGTACAGATGAGATGCATTTGGCCTCAAGGAGCTAAAAATCTGTAAAGAGGAGCCATATGATTCAGGCATCCAGGCCTGCAGTTTCAGCTTGCCTCCTGACATCCACCGCCGCTTCCCATTCCCCTTCTCCCTACCAGTGAACTTCCCATTCCCCTTCTCCCTACCAGTGAACTCCACCAGGCAGCAAGAGCTCAGTGCCTCTCAAATTCAGCCTTGCTGTGAATGCAGTCATTATTGTGGGAAATTGATCACAGAACAGCATAACGTATTTCACTTTAAAAGAGAAAAAAAAAAAATGCTACAGTAGTTTGCTAGGGAGAAGAAAGTGTGTTTCCAGGAAGAGTTGAGTAAAGCTCAGCATGGAAGTCAGGTGGACTATAAATAAGGAGCCTCCACTTCCAGGACTCTTACAGGAAAGGAAGGGCAAGACAAAAGAGATGCTGAAAACTGAGGTTGTGAGGTGGAGCAGCATGAAGAGGGCAGGTATCTCATGAGTCATGGGAGCTATTTGCAAGCATGGTTACCCATGGTGCTCATCGCAGGCTTTGGGAAATTATGTGCAAATATTGATACTTACTGTCTGGGTATCATCTTGGGTCCGGAGCAGGGTGGAGGGAAGAGCAGGGATCCTGCAGCCACTTCAACTGACGGTTGCCTCCTCGGCTTCAACTTTGCTGCCATCTGACCATTTACTTCACTTGGCACCTCTCCAGGGAGACAGACAGAACAGAGTTCTGGAAAATGTCTGGAAATCGAGTTGGAGGTTTGGGGTATTTAAATATTCGGGCAAGGTCTGACGAAGGGTTAGGAAAGTAGTCCCAGGAGCCAGACTTACATAAACAAACTGGCTTTGATATGACTAAAGCATATTCAGGACACGTTCCTGCCTGGGATCAGATCCCTGGCTACTTTTTGTATCCATATGGCATATCTATACAGAGTGCCAGGGTGCCAGCATTCCTGGAAGGCCAAAGCTTAAGAGCTAGATTTAATTTTTGAGCCATGTAGAGACATTTTGCATGGACACGGGCTGTTCTTGGGCCCCTTTTGGAATTCCAGAGTGAATTGAATTGCCTGTGCAGATGTAACCAGAGTGAGTAGAGAATTAGAGGCAGAGGCACAGATGGAAAACAGCATGTCCAGAATGAGAATCTTTGGTTAAAGTTTCCGGGAGAGTGAAATCAACTTGCTCAATGCCTTTTGACCTGGGCAGGTCTAAGACCAGATTCTCAGCTGGAATAAAAGTGTAGCTTCCAATCAAGGAAGCTATATGAGCATTTAATGCCAATGAACTTTGCCCCTGCCAAAGTTGAGATCTTTCTCATTGAAAGTGTGTCACATTTAAGAAAGTACCTCCAAGCTTTCTTACTCACCTGGTTTTTTTGGCCCCAAGAAAAATGGGAATGACAGTGAAGTATGTGCTTTAATGTAATCAGTGCCCAAAGATTCAGGATCTCAGTCAAAAATGAAACCATGGAAAGAATGCATTGTCTTGCTCATATTTATGCAAATAGTACCCTATTGGGCAATAGCTGTGGTGTGGGGGTGAAAAATAAGGAATGGCTTGAAACACGCTATTGGTCACATCCTAACAATATTAGCTTTTTCTAGATTAGAATACAGAAATCATACAGCACTTGACAGATCAGAGTTAATTGCCTGATTCCATCTTACTGATAACAGTATCTCCGCATTCACTTCACTGACATTGGATCAGGTCCTGCATTTACCACAGCACTTCCTTCTCTTGTTTCCTATGGGGTTAGAAATTTCTCTTTGACCCATGAGACTAAAAATGTTTATTTTATTGATTGCTCAGCGAAAAAAGATTAGAGCTACCTGTGGTGGTGAGAAGTAGTAGATTCTTCGACGATGTAAGAGTTTGTAAGTCTAAGTTTAAGAAGGACTGGTAATGTTGATAAAATATGATACTGCTGATGCAGTAAAGGAGCCCTACAGCTTGGATTTACTCCGACAGAAAAGCCTCTCTGTAATACCAGAGCAACCGAGACAGCTTTTCTTGTACAAGGGATGCAAATTTTTTTATTGGTGAAAGAAAAATCTGAAGAATTTGGTGTGATACAGGCAGAATTTTCCTTTTCCTAATGAAAAGCACAGATGTTCAAGTAGGATGTTTATGAAATACCAGTGGACCAGGCAGGCAGGCCATCACGTTGCTCACTCTTTGCTCGCATGTGTTTTGCACTGTGGATGAGTGTAGCTCGGTGTAATCTTTTTAAAATGGATAGTCATCTGAAAATGTTGGGCTCCTGTTGGGTAAAGGTGCTGGGGAGGTGGTGCGAGGTGGGCTCTGGAGGACCTGCAGGATGGAGCCTTGGCAGAGGGGGCAATCTGCTGCGCCCCAGCCCCCTGCCTGGGGCAGAATCGCAGAGGAGGGACCTCAGGTACAGTTTGGCAGGGACCCTCCTCAGAGAAATGGTCAGAGGGCAAATTCCTGATTAAAAAAGTCAGTTTGTCAAAACCAAGGCTTTTTGCAGGCCACATTGTGATTTTTCTAGTAATATTCCCAACACAGTGAAATCTGGGGAAGGTTCAAAACTGCAAAAAGTTTTGACTTTTATTTAAAGGTGAGAAAGTGCTAGGGGATTAACTAATTAAGGGGAAGACTTCTCTCTTCTGGTTTAATGGAGGGTTTTGTTTTTTTCTTTCAAAACGTAAGCAAATAATAGGAAAAAACATTGAAATGGTCAAAATAAGAAGGGAACATTTTTACTGAATGGAATTGTTTTTACCTGGTTTCTGATGCCCACAAAGTAAAAAATTTGCATATAAAAAAGATTATATGAACAATGAAACAATTTTGTCACCCTGTTTATTTATCACCAGTGAATTTCTAGACTCTCAGTTCAGCATCCTTTACAAAGAGACTTTATAGGCCAAAGAGATGTTTACTGCTGTGCTGTAAGATAATACCCTGACTGTTATTTGTGCTGGAAAGAATTTAGGTCTAACCATTACCTGTAAAGCACTGAAAACAGTAAAAACAGAGAGTCGACTCAGTATTTTTCATATAAATTTATTCCTCGTCTACTTGCTTTTGCAAGAAGGTCAAGCAGACAGACACACAGACCAACAGTGCAACTGCTGTCACAGTAATCGGAGCACATACTCAGCGAGTAGCAAGTAGTAGGGGTTAAGTACTCCCCAGTATGCAACTTCACGTGGTGCAGTGGTTTAAATGTAAATCCTCCCTTGATTAAATATTTCTGAAGCTTAGAAGAGGAGAAAAATAAAGCAACAACTTAAACACAGAGCGGTGAGGCACAAGTGCACCCTGGAATTGTGGCGGGGAGGGAGGGAGAGCACACGTGGTTCTGCAGGAGGGATGCGCTGGGCTGCGCTGGTGATGCAGCGAGGGGTATTTCCACCTCCTGCCAAGGGACACATCGCAGAGCGTGGCAGGAGGAAGGGGTGGAAGGAAAGGCAGTGGAGGTGGCCATTGTGATATACTTAGATGACTTCCCATCCAAGCAATGAGTGCGACAGCCAAGGAAAACATGATTGTTTTCTTGACGCAATACAATGATGGCCTTGAGGTGTGTGGTTTTGAGGGTGCTTCCACCCCAAAGAGGCAAGAGAGCCCCTCACTTCCCCACTGCCTGCTCTGTCTGTGCTGGTATAAGTAACACCTCTCCAGCTTGGTTTTCCTTGGGATCCTCACAGTAATCATCGTCTTTCTGGGCAAGAAAGACTGACCGTAGCTGTCGTGTCAGCATACTGAGTAACTGCCTCATTGGCCATCTTCACTGGCATGAAATTCTTGCAGGTTTTGGGGTTTTTTTTTCCCTTCTCTTAAGATGGTAAACTATACAGTGTAGTCTCTATGTGAGTCTCAGCTTTATAACAGAGCGTAAGCTGATGCAAGTTGTTACTGACCTTACTCAACGTCGTAGTGCAATGCTGGTGGAGCCTACTTCAGAGGACTTTAATTTCCCTTACGCACAGAAATTGCTGGCAGGCACAAATCAGGTGTTTTTGTCAACTTGCTGATGTGCGTGTGTGAGGGTCGAAATACCATTTGTAACTCTCTCTTGACATCTAGCCTATTGTGGCTATGTTATGCTGTGCATAGTAATGCACTGACTCTGCATAGCAATATGTTGAATAACCACAGTCATTTGGTAAAAAGATTGCTGCCTTCCATTTCCAGAAGACAAACCAACATGCAACTTATACTTAAAATAACAGAGATAGACAGTAGCTCTCTGAGCAAACCTTCAGCAGCAACCTGCTAAGCAATTCACTATATATGACTTAAATAGCTACAGCACGTGCTGTAGAGCCTAATGAAATGGCCTCAGTGTAGTCCTTGATAAATATTTCTTACCATCACAAATTCACAAAGAAGGGGAGAGCAGATTAACAGGTCGGGATGGAGGTTGAACTGAAGAGAGAGGGGCATGTTCTCAACATGAGCTATGCATGGCATAAGATTTCAATGTGAAGAGAGCAACTGCAGTTGTAGTGTGAGTTTCTGTTGGCTGACTCTATACTTACTTTGCTAGAATAGCTGGATTATTCTGAAGCAGCAAAATTAAAAGGTTGCATGTTACTAAGTTTTGAGAGACCTGGAACAGAATTTTTGTGATGTGATGTAAAGCTAACGTGCCATGGTGTATATACACACCAGTTCAAAGGCACAGTTGTGCAATGGCTGCTGCCTTCTGCCAAACTAGAAGGCCGTGTTGGTGACCTTGAGAGCTGAAAGCCTCTGTTGCTGTAGTATTGGCCACACTGAAAGGTTTGTGTCTCTTTGGGTGAACTGCATGCTGAAGAATTGCCACTACTACACAGCATTTGCTTTTTCTGGGATTCTGGTGTGACTCAAGATGTTCAGGGAAAACAGATCCTGTTCATGCAATGCTATCACATACTGAGCTTTTGGGCTGGGCCTTCAACAAGCAGAAATCATCTCAAGTTGTATTGTTACAAGACCTGTTGTCCCTGTCCTTGTCCTTGGCTATTTAGGTGGTTTCAGTGTTGTTTTAACGCTTAATACAGCATCTTGTCTTCCTTAATTTCCTCTCACTTTTAGTTCTCAACATCTGCCTTCGGCCCCTTTCCATTAACAATATTTCAGATGCCCACCTTAGTTTCTTGCCCAGTGCCTGTGCAAAACTGTCTTCTCTTTCCTCTATCAGACTTTTCCTTGAGCTCTTTCCTTGCGGTGGGGAACAGGGACCCACGTCCATCTCTCTGCCGTGCGCTCACGAGGATGGTATGTGTTAGAGAGCTGTCTCCAAGACCTGCTTCTGCATGTTCGAAGGCATGGTCGTGCTTTGTGTCTGCACAATGGACAGACATGAATTGGTTTGTGTCCAAGTTTGAGAACAAGCTCTTCGGGACCAGGTGGCAATAGGCTACCACTCATAAACTAGTGAGAAACTTAGAAAGCAGTGCGTATTTTTCCAGCTGCTGTTCTGAAATGGAGGACGCAGCTCCAGCCAGTAAGAGTTAAAAAGCCTTCCTGGCTTTTTGCTTTTTAGTCTGTGTAGATGGATTTGATGCCACTTCGGTAATCTTCCCCTCCTCGCTTCTCTGGAGAATTAAAATACACCTTCCTACATAATGCAGGCAGGCACACAAGCTGACCAGGAACACGTGCCGGCTCTCAACACTACTAAATCACGCATGCTGCTGCTACTGTCCTTGCAGGAGGGAAAGCAATTACCAGGCTTGGAGTGAGCTTAATAGGAAGGGGGCAAGACTTCTAATAGTATTTTTCTGTGTAAGCACAAACATCCCCAAAAGCTGTGGCTGAGTTATAGGAATACAGTAAGCTTGCTGAGTAGGCAAGTGCTTTGTCAACAGGTAAAAGCTCTCAGTCCTGATAGTTTGTGAGCAGGGAAGGTGATACATCAGCCTGGACCTCACACAGATAACTCCTGCACTACTGCGAGATGTGGAGAGCAGCTGAGTCCTCAGAGGGAGCTGGAAGGAGGACAGTTGCTGGCTAGCAAGAAAGCTTTGAGAAGCAGGAGTGCTAGCTCTTCTGGTTTGAATTTTCAAAAGCCCCCATTTCAGCTTAACATTTATCTTAAAGCCTGTGAATCAACTGATTTTCAGCATGAAATGGGCCTTTGATGCTTTTGAAATTCCCAGCCTTAATCTCTGGGGCAGGCTATGGTACAGCAGGTGCCGAGCTCTGGGCGTATGTGAATAGTCCCGACTGCCTTCTCTGTCTGCTCTAACATTAACTGCAATCGTTACCTTTCCTAAAGACAAAAATCCAGCTGCTTTCGATGGGACTCGTGCACTTGAAAGGATGCAGCCTGCTGAATTGAGAGGCTAATCACTGGGGCCCTAATCCTGCAAGTATTTACCCATGTGCTTTAGCTCTGTTACTGGAATAGTCCAGCTGACTTTGGTGGATGACACATACTAGTAGTGCTGAGCACTTGCGTAAGGCCTGGCAGGACCACAGCTCTGGTCCTCTCCAGTTTCCCATTCACGAAATGAGTTCAATATCCTGTTATGATCCCTTTCTCTGGAAAGGTTTGGGTTTGGGGACACTTACTTGTTTAACCAAACAGATCTACTTGATTTTCTAACTGTAACCAAGGAGCTGTAACACTTTGAAGGAGAAGGCTCCTCATGGTCCGTGGTTTGACAAGCCCTCAATCAAATTGCTGAAAAATATGCCCATTCTAAAACAATAACACAGATTACACAGAAAAAGCACCCTTCCAGTTCTACAGCTCAGCCTTCCCATGTCAAGTGTCAGCCAAGAGCAAGTATTTCCAGTTCAGCAGCTCAGCCACTTACATAAGGAAAGGACTGTAAAAGAATGGCTAGACCTTATCAGTTGTCAGAAAACTCTTTAGTGACTTGATTTTTCTTTATAAAATGTAATAACTGTCAGAAGTAGAGAATATATATCTCTTCCCAACTGGCAGCCAAGGGTAGCTGCAAAGGGCAAGCAGTGTGGATACTCATAAATGTATGATTACAGGCATTTCTACTGAAGGAGAGAGGAATATTGATGCAATATTCGTCATTTTTATTGGCTTAATATTCTTCTTTCATAGCACCATATCCAAACTGGTGCTATGGATCCAAATCTTTCTTCACATACAGTAGTTGTCCATCTAAGAAACGCTGTTGCTCTTTCCATTTCTAATCCAGCACTCTCCAGCTGCTTGTGGAAGGCCAGAATACAAGGCTTCACTGTCGTACACCTTCCCTGTTGAAAAGATCCCTGCCCCTGCAGGGATTGCTTTCAGCTTCCTGATACCTGTGCAATAGCTTCCCTTTCTTCCCTATCATCTGCCCTGTTTCAGGTGTCCATGCTTTAAGATAGTGGGGGCCTCTCAAGACATATTTTTCACTGTGCATAGAACAACATGGTCTTGTGTCCTCTTCGGGGCACACCAGGATCCTGTGATGATAGCCCAGGGAAGGTCTGTGTGATGGCAACTTGTTTGTGAATGCAGCACCCCAAGGTGTTCTTTAATGGAGAAGATGATAGTTTTTCAATTACAAGTCTTGGGAGCCAGGTGGTGAGTTGCAGTTTGTGAACGCTGATGGAGAGACTTTCGGACGGACAAGTTGAAGGGAACCGACCAGTGCTTCTTTAGGCACTGTGAAAAATAAACAAGGCAAACAAGATCCTTGGAAGAAACTGTTCTCAGTATCTGCTTCACCTTCACCTTGGTAAGAAGCGATGCTAAGACTAGGGAACAAATCACTCCATCACAGGCTAAGACCGGATTAATCAGCTGTTCCTTGTACTGGACCAGCCACAGTGAGAACGGACAGGACACTCCATGGGAAAGGGATCTCTCTCTTTTTAAGTGCACACTCAAGAAGTTGAGACATGGATTCCTTTTTCGTCATGGCTTTTGTGTTCCTGTTGGGGCTTTTTTCTACCATTAAGCCTAATTACTTAGCTTTTTATGTGCTATCCATTTCTTTTCATCATTTTAAAAACTTCAGTTGCCATAACAACATAATGCAATCAGTGAAACATAGCAGCTATTTTCTGTAGTCAAGGTCTGTGCACTGTCAAGGATATGAGCCATTTAAGCAAATCTTCACCATCCCCCTTCCTCCCTCCTCTTTCTTGCTCTCTCTTTTTCTCCCTAAACAAGCTCATAACAGGAAGGAGAAACCATCAGGAATAATTAGACTCAATAGCAGAGCAAATCCCAATCGTACTCATGCAGTCTAGTCTAATGAACTTCTAGCACTAATCTTGGAAGTGTTGATATTCCTTTTTAATCACTTTTTTGATGTCATAGATAGATTAGCTGCAGCAGGACCTTGGTAATCCATGCTAGAGTCAGGAGACCCAGTGCCTATTCAGCAAAAGAAAAGAAAACCAAAAGCATTGCATACTTTGCTCATTTTTTCATCATTTGTTCCTCAGTTTCAAACACTTATTGAGCATATATGCCCATTGTATCGTATTAGTAAATAGAACGGAGTGTATTTTGTAGATTTGTGGGATTTAAGCATGAAAAATCGTAGCATCTATTATTAAATCATTGCTGGAAGGCTGGGAGAAACCGCTACGCTTTTTGTGTGGGTGGTGAGACTTGCAACAAAGCATACTATAACTGCTGGGCTTCTACTGCACACATATATAAAAAGCGGTCTGAAAATAAATCTGGCAGTCTGGTTCAGTGCTATTCTAAGCAGTGTGAATATAAGATCTATCCACAATGTCTTACTCACTCCTTTTGACCTCCATGAAGGCTTTCCTGGAATAGCAACAAGTGAGTTTTGAAGCCTGGGATTTGGCTTAAGCAGCATCTCTCTGGCGGAGGACTGAAGGGTGTGCTTTGCCTTTACGGAGCAAGACTGCCGCCAGCAGAGTCTTCTGGTGGCTTCTGAGTCAGTCATTGCCCATTTCTTGTGTGCTTGTCTTTCAGCACCTTGTCCAAGCAAAGGAAGAACGTCATCAGCTGTGTCACCGTGCATGACTCCCCCTACTCCGATTCCTCCAGCAACAACAGCCCTTACGCCGTGCAGCATCGTGCAGGGCAGAATAACGGGAACACCTATGACACCAAAGGGGTTCCAGAGACTCACTGCAGTGGGAACCCCCGAACGATCATCGTGCCACCACTGAAAACCCAGGCCAGTGAGGTGTTGGTAGAGTGCGATAGCCTGGCGCCAGGTAAATTGCACCTCTTCCGTCAAGAAAATTAGTAAGAAATAAATGATTTATCTTGGAAGAATCTCATTGTTCGGTTTCATTTTGTTTGTTTGTTTGTTTGTTTTGTTTTCCAAAGAAACCGTGCTCCTACCCTTCTCTCAAGTGACACATCTGTTCTTGGGAGCCATATTGCATTATTTATGTGCCCTGGTACACTCAGGAGTCACGGGGGCAAGTGTCGGTCCCAGTTACTTCTGTACAAACCCAAGAACAGAATGCAGCCTTTAGCTCAACATTTGACATGAAAGGCTCCCAAATGCAAGTGTGAAGCTTTGCTGCCTTGCCTTTCCATAGGTTTACTTTAAAATGGGTAAGAAATTGAAAACACATGTGCATTTTCATCCAAACTTGTTGACGTTTCTGGGAAGAGCATTTCCCCAGGATCTTCATTCTGGACTGATGAGGTTTGCTCATCCAGAGCCTCCGCAATGCTAGATAGTACGATGTGTTGAAAAGGGGCTTATTGTGGAAGTCTGGCCTGAAGCAATTGGCTTTGAGCTACTTGGCAGTCCTTTCTTTTGACGCACTGCTGGTGAACACAAAGGCTCAGAGGGTGAGCTCCCCACTAGCTCCTTCTCCCTCCCTTCCTACTCACTGCGAGGTCAGCCAAGCCAGGGCTTTTTTGTGCTGTGCACACTATACTTTCCTTCCTCTCCTTGGGATTTGTACCTGCATCATACAGTTCTGCTGGCAGAACAGTTTCTCACACTTCTGAAGTATCTATAAAGCCTTCTCTGGGCCCGGTTTGGGTCCAGATATCGGGTCTCTTTGTCTGCCTCTAGGATAACAGGCTGGACATGTATATGAAGCACTGCTGAGGTATTCTGTTAATTAAGAGAAACCGTTTTCTTATCCTGCTTCTGTTGTGTGTCTCCTCCCAAAAGCCACTCTGGAGGAGATTCAGTGAGGAAAAGGTAGGGTGAACAATTAAAGAATGTGATGTAAGCTACAAATGTGTTTCCTTTCCTGGCACAGTCACCACCAGTCACCACTCATCCTCCTACAAGTCCAAGTCCTCCAGCACCGTGACCTCCACCAGCGGTCACTCTTCAGGGAGCTCGTCTGGAGCCGTTGCCTATAGGCAGCAGCGACCAGGAGCACATTTCCAGCAGCAGCAACCTCTTAATCTAAGTCAGGTAAGTCAACCGAGACAGATTTTGGTGGTGCATCATCCAGCTGTTACCTACTGCTCCTCCAGCATGGGCTGTCCTGTTCCACTCTAATGGTAGTTGGGCCCCATCTCAAGTTTGGTCAACTTGTTTCAGCTTCACTGCAGACCTTGATCATCCAGCTAAGGCAGCAGAGGTAGTGCAGATCCCACCCCAGAGTGGGCTGGCGGTACTCTTACCGTGTGTTTTGAAGTCAGATGATCTAACAGTGTGAGTGGGAATAATGTGAGAGAGAAGGTGCGGTGGCTCAGACACCAAGGAGTGGAGCGGGACCATGTAGGAAGGACTGAATTCTCCTTAGCTATAGGTAACCATGGGGAGAGTACCTTCCAAGTGAAGGCAGTGCATCAGCCCGGCTGCGGGATTGGGAGAGTCCCCATCAGGTGTGACAAGGCACAGCAGGGCCTCTATGCATATATGTGACCTCATGTAATGAGTTTGATCCATTCCATGATAAACCTGGGCTAAGATCTGGACAAATCCCATTACTTGGCAGCACACAGTTCTCAAGATGTTTCATAGTCTCTGATCAAAACATGCAGGGAGCTCCCCAGGAGCTTCAAGAAGTAATGCCCTTTTTGCGTACTGCACCTGCGACCTCTCTTCCCCGCGGTGAGGCAATGAGAGTAGGGGTTACAGCACTGTTACCAGCATTTCAAGAGGAGAAGGTCTGGAGAGCTCAGAGGATGGTGCTGGTTTGCATCCAGAGCTGGATATAAGCAGAACTGTTTTTTTAAAAAAATAATTCTGGGGAGAAGAATGTCTCCTCCCCCTCAAAATGTAGTTGAAATTTAAAAATTTAAACAAACTTGAAATAAAAGTGAGTGAAAATGGAGGAAGTGGGCAAGATGCTGTTTCCAAGAGTGGGAGAGAAATGTGGCTGCCGCATTTCAGACCACAATGACAGTGCAGGGAGTGCTTACAAAGAGGATGAGAGGGCTTGGAAGAATAGAAGGAAATAACATGGAGCATTGCCCTTCTTGTCTTCTAATTCCTACTTAATTAGTTATTTAATACTCTGACTACAAATGACTTGGAAAACTCCTTGACATTATTGTGCAATGCAAAAAAACAACTTAGAAAATCCCTGAAAAAGTACATTGCTCCTGTCCCACTGCAAGAAGTTGCCTGTGCTCAAGTAATTATAGCTGATTACATGAAGGTACCAGGCACCTGCAGGATCTGATCAAGCCAAGGGTTTTATCTTTGAAAAATAAAGTAGTTATTTTTACTAATCAAGGAAATGATAACTGCAAAGACCCAAACTGAGCAAAAAATAAATTGCCTGTTCCAGGCATAGTTAGGCAACTCCATTCCCCTGAGGTATCGGCGTGTGGCATTTCGTCAGCAGAGCATTCACTAACAAAAACCGTGTGTTGTGTGAGCAACTGGACTTGTGGAAGGTGTTCTTAGGAGCCGGGCATCCAAGGTTGGGTCTTCATGGTAGCTGTCCCAGCAGGTCATGGCTCAAACTGGGGGAGGCTCCATTGTCCTTGTGGAGGCCGTTTTGGTGAATGTGTGAAACTGCAGGGTCTTCCTAGGCTTGGGAGGGACCCTTTGCTGTCACCCGTTTCCAAGGGAAGACTGCGGTGATGCTGAGGGTGTCAGGAGGAGCACAAGGGACTTTCCTGAGGCCGTCCTGGTGTCGCAGGGAGGCTCCCAGGCACCGCTGAGGAGGTAAAGAGCCGTCTCTTGTCTTGTAACCGCTTATCACTGTTGCTGTCTTTATCCAGGCCCAGCAGCACATCACGACCGATCGCACAGGGAGTCACCGGAGACAGCAAGCCTACATCACTCCAACGATAGCTCAGG